ACAAAGAATACAGACTCTCAGTTGTCTTAGACTATCGGGGAGCCCGGTCTGGTGACACCTAGGGTTCGCCGTTTGATTTTAGGCAAGATTTCAAGGTAAACATTTAAAACTAATATAGAATAATGAGATTAGCATACAGCCAAAAAATAACATAGAAATTTTTCAAACAACTTCTTTTTATACCCTAAAAAAATCTGGAAGATTTCTTTGAAAAATGAGGGTCTTAAAAAACTAAACATGGTTAAAATATATGGACTGGTTTGTGTTGAGATGCCATCTGCTATAAATAAAGAAGGTTCAGAGTAACCTATAGTAACTTATAAATCCTTTTTCAATGAATGTTTCTTTGCGTACAGAAGGAAATTTTTAGGTGTGTCCAGACCGGACACACTGTGCCGCAAAGGGTTAGAAGTAACACTAAATTTTTTTTTAAAAAAATCTGAAAGGTTTTAGCTTTTAAATAACGTCCAAAGGGGCGTTTTTTAAAATTTTGTGTGTTACGTTTATTTATTAAATATCATGTTCTTCGCATTTAAACCATAAAATCAAGTTCAAGAGCAATATCGCAAAATAATTTTAAATTGAGCATATCTTCAGAATTTCCGATACACAGTCTGGAGATAAAAATGCTTTTTTTTTTCGTACAACGTTGCCATTGCTCGCTTTGAAATCCTTGAGTTTGTTAATCAACAATTTGTTAAAGTGTTATAAAATATGAAACCGATAATAAAGCAAATTTCAAATTCAAATTATGGCTTTCACATGCCCATATTCTATGGAAGATTACGTTATTCAAATTTTGATGGCTCTAGGTACCGTTGTTTTATCACAACGCGAGAAACATTCATACATTCATGCATATTCTTCATTATTTAATTTCCTTAACAATAATACAAAGCGATAATATTTGGTGGCAAAAATTTAAATAGTAAAAGATAAAATATATATTTAATATGTAATATATATTTATTTAAAGATGAAATTAATTTAGATGATGCATGATGCCTTATAGTAAAATATAAGATGTAGATACCACATAGCTTCCTTGTACGACCTGTTAAAATATTTTTTGCTGCATTTCATTTAAACTTATTTCGTCGAATTTCATTAGAGACGTATTTCTCATTCAGTCAATAAAGTTCTCATATCGCGGGAAAGCAAAAATGCATAAAAAATTCAAAATATCTTCATTAAAAATTGTAAAATACAGAAAAACCTAAAAAACAAATACAGTTAAAAATAGTTTAAAAACAGTTTTCACAATTAGAGTTTTCTACGCCCCATCAAGCAATTCGACCGGCGGACATGACAAAATTTTCGGTGCAAGAATTCGAAAGTTAATTTTTGGTTACTCTGAACAAAAAGAAACTGAAGTTGGTATACCAACTGACTTAATTTACTACTCTAGTTTTAAATGTAAACAAATGGTGGCCTCGTTAGGCCTAGCGCCCTTAAACGTTTAAAGTACTGATAATTCTACAGCTATTGCATGCAGATTAACTAAAGGCATAAAAAACGTAAAGAGAACATAAGAAGAACATAATTCAATCATATTTAAAGCGAAAAATACAGAAATTACCACAGTACAAAAGTAAAATAACTGAGCTCACCAAGGCGGGTAACAGAGTGTTATACATTTATTTATGTACGTTTGGTGCGTCCGATTGCAATCAAAAAGAGAGGAACACAATGAGATGTTATAGCACTCCCATTTACAAAATTTCAAGGTTCTGCGACTGGTTCTACGGTTTGGTAATAAAGTCTTTTATTCTGTCTGTACGTACAGACGTTAGCAAAAACATCTTTTAAATCGGTTCGAGAGTGGTCAAAATGGAAATTTTCGTTGAAATATGATACCCGAAATTATTCGCGATTACAGTATTTCCTTTACTTTGTACAAAGAAGTAAAAAGAATTGATTGTAAGCCAATATGTAACTTGACAGTCTGTAGTGTAAGACTCTGCGATGTTTCATGCAGTGACAAAAATCTACTGAAGCGCGTGGATTAAAATTATTATTCCCATTAACATGACGTAATGTAACGTAACGTAATTCCTCAACAAATTTTCAGATGGATTCCAATAAAGACGTTTTTAACAAAGTAGTCGGAGTAATGAAAATCACGTGGTTTTAAACTGTCTACATCATACATATCACGAGAATCAATATCTATTAATTAAAACAATGCTGAAAATGTTTATCAGAATTATCTGTTTGATAAAAAGTAAATGTCTTTAAAAATGTATTAATTAGTCGAATACTTAAGAAATAAAAAAATTAATTATTAAAAATCCCGTTTAGTGCTCTTAAATCTCTATTTCTTAAGCCCATTAAATTTGAACTATAAATCTGGTACGTTACGTTTTGTCGAATGGCAATGTCTTGCGCACGCTTGAACATATATGCAAGATAATGATCTTTTTGAATTGTTGCATTTCCTTATGGTAGCGTAAAGTAACGTAAAGCCATTGTTGATTGTGACCTATCGTCGGGAGGGGGGAATGGTTAACTATACAACCACTGAAATTCCCGCCTAAAAATATTGAGATGAGAAAGCAAACAGAAAGCTTTTTCTTCCGCCGAATTTTTGTCGAATGAGCATCAATTTTTACCCGCAGAATATTGTGTTTACAGATGGAAAGAGCTCCCAGTTAATGCGGTAACTGCCTGTCATCGTTCTCGAGCAGTGCCGGGAGCCTGGCGAAGTTCCAAACACCTAACTGAGAGTTGCTTACTCATTAACTGAAAGAAAAATATAACTGATACATTTTAGTTCGGAAAGAAACATGATACAAAGTTAATCCCCCTCCCACAACAACTCAATTTTTCCAAAGTGTTTAGGACAACCGGATTAGATGTTTCTGATCAACAAGTATGTTTACGTGTAATCACAAAGTTTCAGTGCGAAGTTAACCCAACTTTATTTTTTTTTCAGTGCTTCCAAGAAGTGTTGTTACTGTTTTCAGATAAATAGTTTCTCATATAAATGTATGTTGTAGCTAATCGATGAGGAATTAGTTTTTTTATTTATCTTCGAATCTAAATTGCACTTTTAATTAGACCTGGACCTGAAGTCAACCATCTACTGTTTGTGTACATTGAAACTTTTACTAGTCTAATGAATTAAGTTTAGCTGCTGCACCAACTTCACTGTCTTTTTTACCTGGTGGGACAAAATGTTAATTTTAAATTTCGTGCATGGAAAATTTGTCTTCCTGCCCGCTGAGGGAATTTTTTTGTTGTAGAAACTGTAATTTTAATTTAAAAAATATAACTGTTTTTAACTGTATTTGTGGTTTTAAGTTTTTCTGGGCTTTAGAATTTTTAATGAATTTGAGATTTTATATATTTTTGCTTTGCCGAAAAGTTAGAACTGAATTGATTGAATTAGAAATGTATCTCTAATAAAAATCGAGGAAATAAGTCGAAATGAAGTGCAGCAAAAAAGTTTAATTTAATAGGCTGTAGAAGGAATTCGTCGTATCCACATTAGATGTTTTTTTTAAATGTGCTATTTAGTGAGAAGAATTTGCGTCGGATTAACATAATGCATAGAATACATTGTCCAATTGAATAGTAATTTTTATCTAAAATAAGAATGTTGAATAGGTTCCAAGAATTTTATTAGTTTGCCGATGTCAATTTCAGTTAAAAATACATAATATAATATTTATTTAATAATGTTCTAGTTACTTGTATACTGCATCTTTTCTCGACGACATTCCCTCTTCACTGAAACTTTGATACGATACTCGATCGCGAAATCTTAAAAAAATAATTTTTAGTTTTAATTCCAAGCCGTGAACTTTTCTCGAATTTACAATTTTTACCCCTCGAAATCCAGCTAATTTTGCTTTCATCTCTCGAGATAAAATTGCTGTCGTGTAATAAGTTATACTAGTCGACAGCAAAATTTCGAATTTTTCGTTTAAATAGCATCTAATGATTATGAGGGATTTCTGTAATACTTTCACGATAACTGGTAAATATATATAAAGTGCTGAAATATAATATATTTCTCTGAACAGTGGAACCTCGAGATGCGAACAGCTCTATATACGAAAAATTCGAGACACGAGGAAAGTATGAGCGAAAAATTCGTCTCTAAATATGAGCATTGACTCAAGTATCGAGCAAGAAGCCAGGCTGTCGGTATGAGTGGCGCCATTTTCCGATGCGGCTCGACTCGGGGAATCCCCTCGTCAGATCACTCAATATTCCTTGATCTACGGGTTTGCGCACTTCTGAGTTAATTGTTTTTTACATTTAACGTGAAAATAATTATTTTACGATGCCTCCCATGAAGATTATTGCCTCAGATAGTGCTGAAAAGAAAAAGGAGGAAGCCATGGCCGTTGAAATTGAGAAAGAAATCATCGAAAAACATAAACGTGGTGTAAGAATGACGGAATTGGCGAAGACTTACAGTCGCTCGACATCGACGATATGCACTGTTCTAAAGAAGCAGGAAGAAATGAAGAAACTTGATGTGGCCAAAGGAGTTACCGTTACTGCCAAGCACCGTCCGAAACTCGTAGAAGATGTTGAGAAGCGGTTGTTGGTGTGGGTTAACGAGAAGCAGTTAAAAGGAGATTCGGTGTAGGAAGCTATCATAAACTACAGTTATATTATTTACCAGTGTTATTTGTTAGAAGATTTGATTTTTATGTTGATATTTTTCAAAAGCGGAACGGATTAACTGGATTTTCTTTATTTTCAATGGGGAAGTTTGTTTCTAGATACGAGAAATTCACTATACGAGGTCAATGCTGGAACGAATTAAACTCGTATCTCAAGATTCCACTGTATTTCCCTTTTAATCGCTATGTTAAATGTGAAGAACTTAAGGCTTTATTCACTGTGGTCATTAAAATCCCCATGAAAAGTGAACTACTAAAGAAGACTAACTACTGAAATCAAGAAAAGTTCATGTTAAAGGGTTAATGAAATATTGTAACTTAAGACACTCATTGGAAAGTGAAACATAAAAAATTACTAACCTCTGGAAGGCTCATGGAAACTGGAAGAGATCGAAGAGGTTCTACAGAATCCCATTCAGTTTTTGAAGCACTTTTGGGAATCTTCGTTCGCTGCGACAAGGAAGGCTTTTCTGTTGCTTCTATATCTGATGGCAATTGTTGGGGTGGAAGAGGTCTGAAGAGAGCCCCGAAAATGGCACAGTTGAGGACTACACCAGCAAGAATCAGCACTGTACCTCTCCAGTCGTAATGACTTAAAAGAAACTGGACAAACGGTGCCATGAGGAATGTTCCAACTCCTGACCCACAGACAGCCAATCCTGTGGCCAATGCTCGTCGACTTTCAAAGTAGAAACCGACAGTCACGATAGCAGGAAGGTAGATGAAGCCGAAACCAATACCTGTAAGGAAAGAAAATGTTTATGCGCATTTGTCTATCAGTACATGATTGGCTAATGTCTGAGAATGTAACACTTGCTCGCAACATTAAAATATACGTTACTTCAGCTCTACAGCTTATTTCTTGTAGTATGTTACGTTAAATTTATTTTATTTCATAAGTTTGTTCATTGAATATATTTTATTACAAAAAATATAAGATTTCATAACTGTAGAAACTTGAGTCCACTTGTAATTTTTAAATCTCTAGTAAAAAGCGTGTCAGAAAAGTTCGATTCCTCGATTCCCATTTACGGACAGAAAGAAAAGTTTATAAAACGTCCCGTACATTACAAACGCTACCATTCCTTCTTTATTATTTATGAGCTTTTCTTTTTGTTGCTTTTGTGCAGTGCAATATATTTAGAAAACAAGAGAATGCAACAAAATCTGATCAAGATACAAGAAAAAAATGCAATGCATATCGGGGGGGGGATTTATTAATCTCGTTTGCAAATGGATGAATTTTTTTAACTCATACTCAGAAACATCGCAGGAGCCAGCTTAAATAGAGTAAAGATTATTAAGGTTTTTCCAAGCGAAGACTATGAAAAATAATTTATGCTTTTACTGAGAATTAAACTATGCACCTTCCAATTTTCTAGCTGAATATGTTAGCCATTACACTAAAAGGGTATGAACAGGGAGATTACCATAATTCGTTACACCTTTCCACCCATGCAAAAAGAGGAGAACGCACGAAACCGAATTGGTTAAAGCCACGTGGTGAGAGTTATTATTGACTACATTTTAGAATCGCAAGTGCAGAGAGCATTAGATTTTCGGAGAGGAAAATTTAGCTATGTCCTAGAAGGAAATGGAACAGTGAATTTTTAATTTGATTACCTTTTAGAGTAATAAGGTTATTTTTGAAATGGGAAGAAGTGAAAAATGAGAAACGCCTTCGCCGGGAATCGAATCACGGACCTTTGGAATACGTGCACAACGTGCAGACCACCACACCACGAAGGCACTCCCTCTTTTAAAGGGCAACTGGTTTTTTTTAGAAGACTCAATCGCCAAACCCTGGGTGTGGAGAATTATCATTCACCACCCTTTTAGTTCGGGCGCCACTCTAGAGACATTTTTTTTGAAGCAGGAAGGATCAAAAATGAGCAACTCCTTCGCCGGGAATCGAACCATGGACCTCTGGAGTACGCGCCCAGCGTGCAGACCACCACACCACGAAGGCAAGCTAAGAAGGCGGGAGAAATACATTATAACCTAGACGTGCCAACAGTTGCATCACGAGGGTGAAATACCAAAATTCATTACGAAGGAATTTATAATAAATTAACGACAGTATAAGCTTGCCATAGAGATGATTTATAAAGAGAGCTAAATGAGGTTTCTAAAACGGAACATAGCAACCGTTTTTTCCCCATATTTATACGTTCATTAGTGCGTTTCTGTAAACGGTACAGTAGTATTAATTCATTCATGAAAACTAAGTAGTATTGGGTTGCTGAATGAAATGGCCAATTTTAAAAAGAAAATCTGTTTATTCAAAGTTATCTAGAGCAACACCAGTCGATATTGCTTTCAAAGTGTGGCAAAGTCGCTTATACCGTGTTTGTAAAAATCAGTATCTCTAGAAATGATGAAGTTCTCCCCTATGCAATAAATGCATGCGTTGTTGACAAAACATTTCTTAGTCCAAAACAATGGCTCTAGTGGAAGAAAAAATAGCAAACCGTTGGAGAAATATCAGGATAATATGGAGGATGAAATACAACTGCATATCCTAAATTTCTGATTTGCTATACGTATTACACTGTTGGAGATACCTTGAATTAATAGGATTTTATGCCTCTTGATAAGTTCTGGCTGTTAAAAGCAAAATTTGTCATGCATTTTACGCATAGTACAATATCGAGCTGCATTTCTCATTTCATCTTGTAGAAGGAATGCGTAGTGAGTGAGCAACAAAGGTGAAAGCAATGAGCAGTGTATACATCCTAGAAAAACCTACATCTTTATTAGGTATAAAGATCTATTTGGAGACTTTTCTGGAAAGTCTTTCCCCACCACTGCGATGAACATTATCAATATAATCATAAGGGCACAGTCCCGATCCTCCTAAGCGGCATAAGCCGGCCGTATGACCAAAAATCGGACTGGGCAGAAAAAAAAAATAAATAAATAATTAAATATAAGAAAAATTAAAAAAAGTCCAAAATCTGAGTCTCATTGTTAAATTCCAAATCTATCTTTGTTCGTATTTATAATTTTTATTATTGTCTCTGCAAAATCTTTGAAATTTGAATAGTTCCTTTCAAAATCTTCTTTAAAATTCTTTCTATATTTCTCTCTTGCACTGCGGGTAAGCGTACATTCATCGACGAAGTGCCTGGCGTCCCCAAATTTGTCTTATATTAAGCATTTGTCATTATTCTGTAGATGGAACCGATTAAAATAATCCGGGAAACGCCCATGATGAGTCAGTACCTGATTTATATCAACATCATTTATAATATTCATACTCTTGTTTAACTTTATATTTTTCATTAACTCTTTTTTTTTTTTTTCTTATTAGATGACTCCCAGCAAAAACTCCATTCTGTGTAAATACAATTTCCCATTTCAGCAATGGTCTTTTTTCTTAAATCTTGGATATCAAAATTATAGGTCCCATCCCCAAGTGCCGCCATCTAGCCAGGTTGTCCGGCCTGTCATTTCCGACAATTCCACTGTGCGCTTTTACCCAGTGTAATTTAACAATATGTTTTCTTTCAGCCTTTTAAACAAGTCTTTATTTCATTAATCAGTCGGTTTTTATGATCTAGTTGAGCGAGTGCCTGTAGCGCAGATAGGGCATCAGTATAAATATTTATAAAACATCGAACTGTTAATTTTTTATTAACCCAAATCAAAGCCTCTGTCAATGCGTATAGTTCTGCTTGATAAACCGAATTCATTGGTTTAAGTTTAATTCTCACATTGTCTATCTCTACTCCATGAAAATAAATTACCACAGTGTTAGTTACCACTTCCCCATCAATTCCAGAACCATCTACTGCGATGAACATATCTGATTGTCGTAGAATATTTGCTTGTCATCCACAGTCGCAGTTCCTTGCAGAATCCGTGTTTCTTAAGAACGAAAAACACATTTCGGAATACTGTGCTTTGGTTTCATCAAAGAATTCGTTATCAAGTGCTATTTTTAACAAAAACAGTTAAAAAATTATATTTAGTGTCTGGGTAATCTCTCAGTTTATGGCGAATCTGATTAAATCCTTTCATTCATTCCAGTGAATGTAGAAAGAATGAGGGCCAGGGAATTTGTTTTGTAGTTTCGAATTTTCTAATCGAAATTCTACAAACCAACGGCAAATGGATCTTCCATTAGTTGTTCCTCCACCGAATGATTTATTATTGTTTTTTACTGCAGCCGTTGCAGAATTTCAGAATTTGATCTGGTAAAGATATAACAATCTTAATTGCCTGGGTTCTATGACTGACCTGCTTCTGGTTATATTCGATGTTCAAAGCTCGTTGAACGAAACAAATATTAAATTGCTTTACCCCAACCCAAGTGCGATATTATGACATGACATAATATGGAAGGTTATACAATAATATAATAAGTTATAAGGTAATTATATTGAAATATAACTACTCTATCATAAGACTAAATACATTGATCAACGTCATCTAAATAGAGAAGCGAAGAAATTGGTCCAAGAAATAAAAGCGGAGATGGCCATGATTCTTAGAGACTTAACTTCAGTCTTACAATCATCTGACTTCTCAGTGATAACCTTTTCAAAGATGGAATCAATTTTTTTTATGTAGAGAGCGTAACATACTTTCTTCACAGCCGATATGAAGGTCTGTTTGCCATGATGACAGCTAGTTCATCGCCTAATCGTCATAGTATTGTAATTATGATAAAATTTCCACTTGCTAACAAAAATAAACTAATGGAGTTTTCTCATTGGTTTATTTTACTAATATTGGTAACTCTTTATAGAGAAATGTAATGCTATTAAGAAAATTTATGATGTTGTTAAGACAATATCTTGCATGTAAGGGAAGCCGCCATATTCAGCTGTGAGTTTAAACGGCTATGAAAAATATATGACTTCAATGTATGCAGTCTGTCTATTTTTAAAACGAATTTAAAATAGGACAAAGTAAGTATTCCTTACCTCCGAAAACCCCAAATGTGAGACACAGGTATTCCATACTTGGGGAGAAGGATGCAATGATAAAACTAACTGCCGCGATGACTGTACCTGCAACTGTAACTGGCCGACAGCCATAGGTGTTCGCCAGTCCACTCACTATAGGACCTAGAGCGGGTAGAAAAAAAGAATCATTAGCTCATTACACTTATAATTATAGTTCTTTGAAGGAAAGAAAATATTATCTCATATTGTGATAATTTAGTTATTTTTACTAGCAAAAGTGGTTTTCTTTAATTTGCATCTTTTGTGTCACTTCTGATTTAGCCACGCAGCTCGTTCCCTCCAAATGGTTTTGTAGATTTTTGAGACGAGCCTGGGGGTATAAGCAGGTTAACTAGAACCGGCTGTTGTTTAACCGTGTCTGAAGTTGCTACTATCCGAATAACACGTCATTCTGGGTCTCGGCCTAGATATGGCGGAGAAAGCTGGAGGATGGAGCCGCAAGAAACTAACAGCTAGTGATTACCGATGTTTAAATCCTGGCCAGTGTAGCTGATTTCAGAGCGGTCGCGGACACTTAGCCGACAGGACACTTAACCGACACCAGTTAGCCGACAAGACATTTAGCCGACATGGACACTTAGCCGACAGGACACTTAGCCGACAGAGACACTTAGCCGACAGGACACTTAGCCGACAGGACATTTAGCCGACAGGGACACTTAGCCGACAGGACATTTAGCCGACAGGGACACTTAGTCGACAGGATATTTAGCCGACACGGACAGTTAGCCGACAAGACACTTAGCCGACAGGACATTTAGCCGACACGGACAGTTAGCCGACAGGACATTTAACCGACAGGATATTTTGCTGAAACAGAGAGTTAGCCATCAAGACATTTAGCTACGGGACACTTAACTGTCAACATATTTAATCCACAGGACACAAAGCCGACAGTAATGTTTAGCTGACACGTACCCAATAATTATTCAAACTTACTATTAATTACAAAATTTCGCGACTTCTCCATAAGTTCAATATTTAAGTTATTTTTTCACTATCAGTAAAATTCATTTTTCGATTCTTAAAGATCTCATATATACTTTTAATTATTGGGTTAATTTAGCATTGTTTGATATGTATCCATGGACCTTATAAGAAATAGACCAACCAAAATGGGTTTTCTCCCTTGTTTGGCGTATTGCCGGCTGTCACCTTGCCCATATCCGGAGGAGTATGCAGAGCGTATAATTTTCAAGAAAAAGCTGGTGATGGCACCTCATTTCACAAATTAGAATTTTTAGATATTTTCATTTTTGAAACTGAGATTGATTTTTAAAAAATTAGCATGTTATCAAGCATAATCGATGTTCTAAATAATTATAAAGCCGTTGCATGCTTTCAGGTCTGGATATTTTTGTAGCTTTTCCTATACTGTAAGGAAATTTGTATCTCCTTCTTTTAAAAATAATATTTTAAATCTGAGCTAATAGAAAAATTCAAGCAAAAAATTTTCTCTTACAATTTTTAAGCTTTTATTGGTATAAATAAGTAAAATATTTTCTCTTACAATTTTTATGCTTTTATTGGTATAAATAAGTAAAAAATACTAAAATTGAAAAAGGGGATTTTTGAAAGTTTTTGCTTAAAATTCTTATTTGTACTGCTTTTTTAAAATTATATCTGAATATTAAAGCATAATATTCTACAAAGAAGTTTTATTTCAATAATATTTCATAATACATTATAGTGATTAACACTTTTAACACTTTAATAATTTTCTGCATTTATTATAAAGTTAAAAATTGTATTTGACTGTAATAATTAATTGTGCTAGTATTTTATAGTGATTATTTTTTTTTAAATTTATGTCTAGTTCTGCATAAGTTTTTTTATTTATTGTTAATTTATTTTATCAGCCCAAAGAGGCGGCAGCTCAGAAAAGCTATTAGTTTCGAAACGGCATTTTGCTTTGTTTCACTATAAATGTCTGTTTCATTTTGCAAACTGTTGCCACCAAATATTATCGCCCTGTATTATATTTAAAGAAATTAAATAATGAAGAATCTGCATGAATGCACGTATGTTCCTCTCGCACTGTGAAAAAAACAACAGAATTTAGAATTATAAAATTTTGAATAACGTAATCCTCCACCCGAACATGGGCACCTGCAAGGCCTAATTTCGAATTTGTTTTAATCCATTTCATATTTTGTAACTTTAACGAAGTTTTGATTAACAAAGTCAACGAGTTCAAAGCAAGCAATGGCAACCCTGTGCAGAAAATAACATTTTTATCTCCAACGCGGAAATTCTAAAGATATGTCATTTTCAAATATTTTGTGATATTGTTCTTGAATTGAATTTTATGTGGTTTATTTGCGAATAACATGATGTTTAATAAATAAAGATAACACGCAAAACGTTACAAAACGCTCCTTTGGGCGTAATATAAAATTATATTGCTGAGTGCTTCCAGAGTTTATCTTTTTTTTTTTTTTTTTCCCTCATTACACTCAAAAAGTTTATGCTCCGAATTTTATGAATTACTAAAATAAATAATCATCTTGTAATGTTAATAATTAATGATCATATAATCAAATAAATGATCGTCTTGTTATGTTATAATAATTTTAAAAACTACTGCCTGAAAATGCTCATAAAAATCAAAGAAAATTATCAGATCTTGTTTAATTTTACCTTATTTGTTTCAAAGCATCATATGCTATCAGTATTATTTAATTTTACTTTATTTGTACACAAAAATAAGTTCATAAGTTTTGCGTTTAGAATTTTTACCGTTTTACTAAAGTAAAGAAATTTATACAAGAATTACGCTTGAAAAAAATGCGCAAAATGCAATGTAATAAAAATTATTGTTATCCTTGAATTATACTTTTTATGGAAACATATATTGGTGAGGGTTAGTTTAGCAAATATATTTTATTTTGTTATTAAAAACAATTTAAAAAAAGTGAATTTTTAAGACAAGCAAAGGTATAAATTATTTGTGACCTCTATAATTTGCAGTTCATGCCACCATTCTTGAGATAAAAATTCTGTAACATTTTATTAACCACGCCTCTTGCTTAAAATACTTACTTAGGTGAATGTTTATAGCCCTAAACTAGTGCATAATGTTTAATTTAGAAGTAAAATATTCTTTAAGGTTTTGTTTTATTCATTTTATTCATTTCGAGAAATTTCAGCGCGCTTTTTCAATTTGGCCAATGTACACAAACAGCACGATACATATCAAACAATGCTAAATTAACACAATAATTAATAGCACATATGAGATCTTTAAGAATCGAAAAATGAATTTTACTGATAGGTGAAAAAAATGACTTATATATTGAACTTGTGGAGTAGTCGAGAAATTTTGTAATTCATAGTTTAAATAATTTTTGGGTACGTGTCAGTTAAACGTCACTGTCGGCTTAGTAACCTGTTGACTAAATGTCTTGACAGGTAAGTGTCCCGTAGCTCTAAATGTCCTGACAGCTAACTCTCTGTGTCGGCCAAATGTCCTGTCGGCTAACTATCCGTGTCTGCTAAATGGCCTGTCGGCTAAATGGCCTGTCGGCTAAGTGTCCTTGTCGGCTAAATGTCCTGTCGGCTAACTGTCCGTGTCGGCTAAATGATCCTGTCGGCTAACTGTCCGTGTCGGCTAAATGATCTGTCGGGTAACTGGTGTCGGTTAAGTGTCCCGTCGGCTAAGCGGTTTTCGGCTAACTGTCACGGACCCATTTCAGAGACGTTCTGACCAAAACGGTAAATCTGCGGTTGACAGCTTAGCACGTTAACATTAGAATTGTAGTTCCTCGTAGAATAAAAGTGAAGTAAAAATTTTAGCATACTCAAGTGGTCTGTTAGCTGTTTCTTTATGTTAACTCTCAAGGAGAGATTCATTAAAGTTTTAAGTTAAATGTTATTGGGTTCTTCTCTGCATTAACCTGAAAATACCATTTCCATCACAGTTAATCGTGTAAGGAAATCAGCGACAACCACTAATTGGAACTAATAGAACTAGCTGTAGTGGTAATCCAGACTGTCTCAGATCTAACAAGAAGGCAAATAATATGTATTGTTAAGAAGAAAAACTTTTGGCCATTTGGACAATTCGCGGCAGCAGGAGTGGCTCTCTTCGAACGAAAATGGAAACACCTGCGCATGCGTGAAATATCTGTCACCAGAAAGCGCCAAAGTTCGAAGCTGATGTCGAAGTTCGAACAGGATCGACGGTCACGTTTATCAAGAGTTTAAAGCTGTGCGACTCCATTTTTTCCCTCCATATTGACGGATATAAAATCAGACATCAAACTGCAATATGTATAATGCAAGTTTCACCGCCAGTGAAAGTGAAACTTCACCTAATTTTCTTATTCATTTTAATCCGTGTTCCTCAATTTCCTGTACACGTCGCGGAGGAGGAAAATCTCGGTCAGGTCTCATGCCAGAGGGGGAAATTCTCGCCAACAGGTTTCGTCGCCAACTCTCTTGGCGAATTTTTCCTCTTCTTTCTAGCGGCGTAGAAGATAAACTGGTTTACATTACGTCTATGGAGCCTTTCCTTCTTTACGTAGACGTTCTTTGAAGAAGGTGTTATAACAATCTAAACTACGGGCTTGTGAAGTGAGGCAAAGGAGCATGTCATCTGAACTTTTCGTGCAGTGCATTTTAAGCTAATGGTTTCGTGCAGTGCATTTTAAGCTAATGGTAATTTAAGCTAAGGGTACATTTACTATTTTAAAAATATTAATTAATCCGTTGAAAAAAAGAGACTCTCCACGACTAAAAATAAGCAATCTATGTTCGTTTTGTTATTCTTCTGTCAAGCTTAATTTTTTCTTTTCTGATTTGGCAGGTGACATTTTTAGGTTGCTATAGAAACAAATTTCGTGTATTTTTGCTTAAAACTGTTAGTTTACTGTCAATTTTAATATGGAGTGCAAAAATAAATATTTTATACATATTTAAATTTTTATCCTCATAAAGGCAAGAAAGCGGCTAAGGTTCACAAAGTATATATAAATTTTATGCTGTTGATTTCTTAACAGAATGCAGGTGTAAGAATTGGTTTAACAAATTTCGTTCTGGAGATTTTTCAATTGAAGATGACCGACGTTCTGGCTGACCTTCTGAAGATGATGATGACAAAA